AGTGAACACTTGAGGCTTTGTGGCCACACAATCTCTGGAACTACTCAATTCTACTCCCAGTGCAGCATGAAAGTGGACACACACCTACTATTTTCTACTAACACCTAATTTATAAAAACAGGTGGTGTTTGGATTTAGCCAGACCTTTAATCCTTGCTCCAAGGAATGGACAAGAGACCCAGGGCAGAAAGAAACAGCATTTTGGGAAAAGCAATAGACAGAGGCTGGAGGGTGCAATACTAATGTGTCTGAATGTCAGTTCCTTCATGTGTAAAGGATGCTTCTAGCTTTGAAATTATCTAATCTTAAGAAGGAATTTCAATACAAGTAGTTCCCCTTATCCATGCAGAATAAATTCTGAGACCCCCAGTGGATGACGCCTGAAACTAATACAGGATACCATAGATATGCTGCTTTTCCCTACACATGCATACTTAAGATAATGTTTAGTTTATAAATTAGGCACAGTAAGAGGTTACAATGCTAACAATAAAATAGAACAATTATACTGATATACTATAATAAGTTATTTAAAACTTGTAACTTTCTGGAAGTTTCCATTAATATTTTTAGATTTTGATTGACCACGGGTAACTGAAACCGTGGGCTAGGGGAAACTGCTGTGCATACTGAAAATGTGACTCCCAGCATTACTAGGGTCACAGCTCATCAATCTGTGGTTGCTCATGGCCAGTTAGTCCCTTTGCCTATGAAACACAGGTGGGACACAGTCTACAGTAAGACTTTTGTAGATAGAGAAATGTTCTAGTAGATAGTTATGCTTCCCACTCCTCCACTAACCCTCCAGCAATCCTTTCCTGAAGATAATAAATAGAAAATATCACAGGAAGAAGCAGGTTACTCATTGATACATACATCATTGGTTATTCAATAAAAAAACAGATCCCAGGGAACTTGTCTCTCTCTCTTGCCAGTCACTCCAACTTGTTAAGCTCTTAATAATAGTCCTTATCCTCTCGGGAAAAAAAAAGCTACATGTTATATTTAACTAGATCTAATTTGTGATCTGTCAACCATCTACTGAATTTCCTTTATTAATTACTTTGTTTTTTTCCACATGGTAAATACCCAGGTAAACTGTCACAGCTTTGCATATAGTCTTTTAACTGTACAATGCATCATAATTTCAGAAATATTAAAACATTACAAGAAAGAGAATGTTATGAAAACTGATCCTTTTAATTGACCAGGTTAAATGGTAAATTTAAATCTCTACCTGAAGTAGGAAAAAAAAAATACACAGGGCCTTAGGTTGTGTTTGCTCCTGGGAGTTTTCTCTAGCTGGAGTGACCTCTTCTTCTCTAATCTCCTCTTGTCTATATTTTCAGTGTTCTTCCAAGCCCAGCTAAAGGCTGCCCTCTAAGCGGCCGCCCTGACCTCCTCCAGTACTAAGACACGCATCACCGCTTTACTGTTACAGCTAACTCTGCTCAGCTCTTTCATGATAGAGCTTGTGCCTTACACCTTCATGAACTCCCACCTCACAGGAGCGCAGTACAGTCCCATAAACACAGAAGGTGTCTGAATGTTGAAGTCCTAGTGTATTGAGGCAAATGATATGTGAATGGTGGGAATCCGACTTTGTTTTTGACCCACATCCATGAGTAATGTTGCCATCTATACCCTCCAGCTGTGGCACTCATCAGTGTGACATTTGGCAGTATCTTCATTTCTTTCTGTGCTCTGCTCATTTAAAGAGCCTTAAGGAACTAAGTTTTCTCATCTAACAGCTGCTTTATAGAGATTTAAAGGCTTCTTGTGGCTGCTCAGTCATGACAGAACCTTAAGTTGTACATAGAGATCACTCAAGGAATTCGACCTCCAATAGATGGATCAGTTTTTCAAGGATCTGAGTTGTCCAGAAAGACATCAGGGGCATGGGGTAGGGAGGCAGGGGTACCTGGAGATACCTAACACTGTGACAAGACCTCTTCAGAGGGTTATGGAATAAAGACAGTGTTAGATTGCCGACTTGCAGAGTGGGAAGGAACTTCAGAGCTCTCCCTCTCCAAATCTGTCATTTGACCTCTGAGAAAAACAATGCCTTGCAGTTAAATTCGTTCATCTTGGATTTGGTTCAATTAGTTAATGCATATATTTGGAGATTTTAAAACTTTTGAATATATCATTAGAATAATGTTAATAATCTGTCTTACTGAAGGAGTTAATGCATTGCCCCATATGATCTGGCTCCAGGATTATTTTACATGAACATTCTGACTTCCAAGATCCATAAAGAAAATCAGAGGCTCTTCCTCTCTGTGTGTTCTCAAAGAGAGAGGACATCAGAGATACCACGGCTCATTGCTTGGGTGGTACAAAGTTTGATGAGTGTGCATCCATCAACAAACAATGCTGTGTCCAGGAATGAGATTAAACAAACAAACAAACAAACAAACAAAACAAAAACAAAAAAAGTGACATGGACATTATTACCCTAGGTACATGTATGACTGCACATATGGTGAGATGCTACATCATGTACAACCATAGAAATGTAAAGTTGGCTGCAATTGTACAATGAATCAAAATGCATTCTGCTGTCATATATACCTAATTAAAATAAGTTAATTAATTAAAAAAAAAACAGTGGAATGATTTTAAGGGACAGATGATTTAAAGTTGACAAACCTATTAAACAAGGGGAAACAACTCCTTAAGTCTAAACAGTATATCTTTCCGAATATATGGGCTAATCTTAGATTCCTAAGAAGTCTGTGGTTAAGATGGGGTCACAGAGGAGGTGGACATAACAGATCTTGACTCTTGATGAGGAAGTCAGACCTCTCGAGGGCAGCACTATGGACAGCCACCAATGGGGCAGCAGGCCACCTGTCCTGGGCAAAGGATGTTGCCTCTCTGGGTCTCAATTCCTTCTGTGGTTCAATTCTCTCTGCGGTTTCCCCTGTACAAAGAACCTTTCCACATAAAATGAATATAGCAGTAAAAATCTACCTCAAAGAGCTGCCCTGAGAATAATAAATGAGTAAAGAAGATGTGAAAATATCAAGTAGTACAGACCGTATGAGAAGGGTTTATGTAAACAAAAGGGGTCTTACCTGGAAAGCACAAGAGAGGTCTTTATATTATTCATAGCAATACTCTGAACCCCCCTCTGTCTCCAATATCTGAGGAAATTCATGTGTTTTTTCCCAGGCTCTTTGCTTCTTTATCTCCTGTTCCTTTTTTCCCCCCTACATAGTTTCTTTTTATATTATTAAAAAATCAATGTAGGGCTGGGGGTATAGCTCAGTTGGTAGAGAGCTTGCCTTGTGTGTACAAGGCCCTGGGTTCAATACCCAGCACCACACACACAAAAATTAATATATGTGTAAAAGTGGAGAGAACAATAATGAGAACCCCTGTGCATCCATCACCATGAAACTATCAGCCAGCTCCTGGCTAACCTGTCCTGTTTACCCCATCCACTTCCCATCCCCCAAACCTGTGGGAGGATTTTCAGTTGAATCCCAAAAATATTCCAATTAAACAAAAAACCAAAAAAAAAAAAAAAAAAAAACTCTTTTCAACATATGAGCCATTTCTTGTAGGTTAACAGCCTCCAGGAGTGGTCCACGAGGACCCACTGACCTCCCTCATTTTCTTCCTTTCTGTTTTTTCTTAAGTGCTGGGGACGAAACCCAGAGCTTTCCACATGCTGGGCAAGTGCTCTACCATTGAGCTACGCCTCCAGCCTCTATTTTATTTTCTTGATTCAACATTCCTAATGTAAATCACTTATAACAACAAAAAGAGGCAACATGGGAGGTGTACTTGGGACCAGAGAAAACTCAAGAAACAAACAGCTTAAATAAAAAAGAGATAATGAGTCAAGGTGGAGGTGAAGCAGTCCTGCAGAAATGTCTATGCATCCATATGGCTAGCTGGAGCACCAGCTCATGGACAGAAGGACATGTCTTCTTCCTCCAGGCCTCCCTCCCACTACTGAAAGCATAATCACATCAGTATCTCCCATGCAAAGCCTTTTTTTGGTCCCTCTAGTCAAAATGTGCCTTCTTTCTGCTTTGCTTTATTATTCTGGCACACAGTAGGTATTCAATGAATGCTTGGCACCGAAAAAAATTAGATGTTGAACTTATTTCCTTTTGCCCTTGTATGTCAGTGTTTTTCCTGTTTTGCTTCTCTCACTAAGTTCTCAATTCCCTGAGCAAAAAGATACTGTGTGTTAACAATCAGCCCTGTATGCTGTGTACCTAATGCATTTATCTGTACATAGTAGGTGCTCAACAAATGTCCCATGAATGGACAGACATTCTGGGAAGAGTTTGCCTTGCCCAACAGAGCATGAGGCTTTTTGGAGAGTGATTGTATGTTAATTGTTAGCAGACTAGCAAAAAGGCAAGGCGTAGATTTTTTCTTTTCCCCCTACTGGTTTCCACTGGCTTCTTAGGTAAGCAAATTTGGGCTTGTCATCATAGAAGAAAAAGAATTTGGGAGTGGTTTCCTCTGCCCAAATGACCTAACAACACTAGCATCTACTACCACAATCCAGTTTTCCTCTCTTCCCTGCTCTCAAGGTGAAAGTTACACTGAGTCACTGCCTATAGGATGGAATTACGGCCATGACTCTGAGACAAAGGTTCTTTATGCTGTGTCTGGTCATTAATTAGCTGCTGGAAACTCCAGGACAGGGCCATTAGCATGCTCATAAACCTTTTATTTTAAATGTTTTCGCTTAGCCATGATTCTGGTGTGACTCTCCTTGTAAGCTGTGTGCAGGACATTTGTTTCTTAACATTTCTGAGGCTCATTAACTACGCCATCCCAGCGGCTCATTAACCAGGCCATTAGGGATCCTGCCTCATCTAGGCAGAAGCCTCCAGTTGCCCTCCCAGAGCCTTTGTGGGCACCTAATTGGGAATGGTGAGGCCAACTGTGAGACTCTCAGAGGGCAGCAGAGCTTTGTCAGGTGCCCCTGATGCTGGAGAGGCGTGGGAGGGATGGGCAAGCTCACTCACCTGCTATTCTCCCAATGGGCAGAGTGTGTTCTTCAGGCGGGGACACCGAGACCATGATGTGGTTCATGTAGGCCAGGTCTTCCCGATGAGAGAGGTTGATGGGTTTCCCTTCCCTGTGCAGCCCATCCTCAGAAAGCCTGGACTGTTTGAAATCCACGGAGTGCCGGGGGTTCAGGATCAAAGGGTGCATGATGGGACTGGGCATCAGCTGGATCACTCGGGTGCTCTCCTGCCGGGGGCTGGAGGGCTTTGGGTGGGACTCGGAGGATGGCGGGCAGTGATTATTCTCCATGGGAGACACTGACAAGGGGTAGGACTCCTGGTGGTTGTTCTCCTGGTGGAGCCTCGGTCCCTGGGCCCTCTCGGCTGGGGAGAGGCGGCGGATCATGTTGTCCAGGGGGGATCGAAGGGGCCGCTGCTCGGGGTCAGGAGAAGGCCGGTGGTTTGTCGTGATGGGTGACCTAGGGCGGTGCAAGAGTTCAATGGTGGGAGGGTTGTGGTGCACGCTCTCCACGGATGGCCTGGGGGTCCTCTGGACACAGTTATCTGTGGGGCAGAGGGAAACACAATCACAGACCCCAGTGAACGGGCAGGCCAGGGGTGGGTCTCATGGGGGATCTACAGGCAGCTGTGTATGTCAATGGGGCTGCTTTCTCCCCAGGATGCAGAGCATCCTTTCCATTGCTTAAATGAAATGCAAATACACATACCTGAAATTGTTTCCCCAATGTTAGACAAGTTAGGAATGTCTTCAAACATTCCAATTCCTCACCTAGAAGTAGCTGAGAGACACAATTGAGCCCAATTTCTATGCTTTACTTTTTTCTCACTTGACTCTTCCATGTAGGTTTCAGAGGTGACGGGTCCTTAGGGGTTTCTCTCTAGATGCTCTTACTGACTCACATTTTCATAACCCAATTTTTATACTCTCTCCAGGAACTATTGTTGCTAATAATAATGATGATGATTAACAATGACTAGGTCCTGGTCCTGGATTTTATTGTTTAAAACTTACAATGCTCCTCAGCGGGAAACATCACTATCACCCCTATTCTGCAGATGATAAAACCAAGATATAGGCAACTTACCCAAGGTCACACAGCCAGTTGGCAGATTAGAATCAGACTCTCTCATTACAATATCTGTCACTTTGTCACATAGAAACTAGGACACAAAGTCATAGCAAAACTTGCTCTCAGCATACACTGTGGCCCTAATTTACAGAATGACAATCTTGTTGCCCTTGAAAGAACTTTTAGTAGCACCTTTCCAAGTACATAGACCCCATAAATGCTCAGATTGGAAATCAGAAGGAGGAGGGGTGGATACCCCAAGGACACATGCACCCCATCCTACTTGAACTTATGAGCTGGTGAGGATAGCAGTGCACAGCTCATCAACAGGAGCAGCTCTGGGCACTGGGTTGAGGGATGGACCAGCACATGTGTGGTTTCGGAGCTCCTGCTAAGGCTCAGAAGGACAGGGATCCACCCATGAAAAATGGAGCTTTCTATAGAATCTCACATCCATCTCAATGAGGTCTCTGGCCACATGTGTTCCCAGAACTGTCTCACCAAAAGGCTGTGCCTACTTGCTGATTCCAATTCTGGTCAAAGACTTGCCTATGATTCTGAGTAAAGACAGAGATATCATCTTTTTCCACTAAGACAATCTGCGTAGGAAGAATGCATAAAAGGGATATGGGAATCAAATAGAGTCAGTAAACAGAGACAGAAGGGGGTATTTTCTTCATGTTTCCTACTGGATTATCAGGAAAATAAAGAATTTTTTTGCTTTTTAAGTTCTATTAGATCACATGAGACATAAACAAACGAAATATTGTTCATGATATTACAAGATCATCTTGAAGGCATTCAATGGAATAGCTATCACTATAAGATTTGTTTAATAAATTATAGTATATCTCTAAATAATGGAGTACTATAAAACTGTAAAAAAGAATTAGGAGCATCTCAATACATTGCTAAGGACTGATATCCATGGTAAATGGTGCCATGAAAAGCAGATCTTAGATCTGCTACCACTTATGTAATAAAGAGGAGTTTTAGTTTCAGTAATGCAGAGTGGCTTATATGAGACTACCCTTTCTTCAAAGAAATGTTTAAAAAAAGCATTTGAGCTGGGTGCAGTGGCACAAGCCTGGAATCCCAGCAGCTCGGGAGGCTGAGGAGGAAGGAGGAAGAAGATTGTGAATTCAAAGCCAGCCCCAGCAAAAGCGAGGTGCTAAGCAACTCAGTGAGACCCTGTCTCTAAATAAAATACAAAGTAGGGTTGGGGATGTGGCTCAGTGGTCGAGTGCCCCTGAGTTCAATCCCTGGTAACAAAACAAAACAAAACCAAAAAACCAAAAACCCATTTGAAGATATTAGTGAATGACCAAAAGCAGACAAAAACTGAAGAGGATTTTATTCTTGAGAGAAGGGATGTGCACAGAAGGAGATCAATATTAATACAGCTATTCCCCTGAGAGTACTTCAGTCCACGAAGCATAGGTACGTTAGAAGATGAACAGAAAGTTACTTGAGGTAGATCTGTAGAGGTTAAAATGGCAGAAAATTACAGAAGCAAATCTAATAAAGGAGGGAGACTCAGAGGGAAAGCTACTGAATTGGCATGTAAGAGTTCTAATTTTTGTCTGATTCCTAAACAGTATATGTGCAGGGTAGCTTTAAGGAGTTCACTCAAAAGCAATAGTTGTATGGTTGGTAGATATAAGCAGAAGTCTCAGCAACTGGCTATGACAATAGAAACAGAGTTCAGAGTTTGATTCTCATCAAGTGAGAAGGCTCTGTAAACACTTCTAGCTGTCTACTAGCCCAGAACCGCCATATCTTAGGAGTAGACTCTGCTCTAAGACAAAGGGATCTTGCTGAGGGCTAAAGCCAACAAAGAAACAGATTTGGCCCAATCAAACTTAAGACCAAGCCTCCACAACTCTGAAGTGACTGTTTAATAAATTAGCTGCCTGATAGGACAAAACAAAACAAAACAAAAAAAATTCTTCAGAGGAATATAACATAATCCAAAGTCTCTAAAATGTGTTTATCTATAATTTTCAGAATCCAATAAAAATCTTCTAGACATAAGAAGAAATGTGACCTATAATTAAGAAGAAAGGCAATCAACAGAAACAGATCTTGAGGTAATCTAGATGCTGGAATTAGCAAAAATGACGTAGCTATTATAAATAAGTTCACACACTTAAAGGAAAGGGTGGTCATAATGAGTGATGACAGAAGTTGTGAAAAGAGAAAACAGACCATTAAAAAACAAAATGAGCAGTTTGAAAGTAGCTGGGGAAGGACACAGGTGAGTGTGTGTGTGTGTGTGGGGGGGGGGGTTGGGGGAGGAGGGAGATTCATGTTGAGCATCAGTGTTAATTTCAGATGCTCCAAAATCTGTAACTATTTGAGCCTCAACATGACACCACATGTGGAAAATTCCATACCATGAAATTTTGCTTCATCAACAAAATTATTAAACATATTGTATAAAATAACCTTCAGGCTATTTAGACTTGCATCCCCTCACCAAGTTACCTCATTGTATATATGTACATATTCCAAAATCTGAAAAAAAAATCCCAAATCCCAAAAGACTTCTGGACCCAAGCATTTTAAGTTGGGGATACTCTCAATCTGTAATATATAATGAAAAAAGTTATGCCATTAATGGCTAGCTTAAAAAACAAAAAACCAAGGAAAGAAAGATCATAAGCATGCATGAGAGAGCTCTCAAAGGCTTGTACAAGAAGGATCCACTGTGGATTGAAAGAGACTTAAGAGACACATCAACCCCTTGCATTGTAAAAACTCTTGTATGGATTCTGATTCAAACGGTAAAAATCATTTACAAGATAGTTGGGAAAACTTAACCTCTAATAGGACATTTGGTAATACTGAGGAAATACTAGTTTTTGGTTGATGTGCTAGTTCTATGATTATGGTTTTATTGAGTCCTTTTCTTTTAAGACGTGCTGATGTTTCTACAGAGGAAAATATATACCTGGGATTTGCTTTAAAATAATCTGGGAAGGTAAGGAGAGAGTAAGTGGGGGGCAGAGGAAACAGGCTGGCTGTGATTGATAATCAAAACTGGTAATGGATATGTGGTGCTTCCTTATCCAAGTCTCTCTACTTTTGTATAGGTTTCATACTTTCCATTATGAAAGATTTCCTTTTTAAGTGCTTAATCAACCTCACAAAGACACAGGTTGGAATAACAAGCAGTAACTTTCTCATTTTACAGGATACTGACTATGCCAATGGAGTTAACTTGAATGGATAACTATCAGAATAATCTTATGATAGAAATGATCTGTAATCTTCTGGGGACAAAGTAAGGTTTTTTTTTTTTTTCTTTCTTTCCTTTTTTTTTTTTTTTATGGCTAACATGGACCTCTTTTAGATCTCAATTCTTCTTCCCATAAAAATGGATTTATCTTTTGTCCATGGTTCACTTTTCATCGGTCACAGAGTATGATCATTGTCAGTAACTAGAACTTTCATATATTTTCTTCTAATTGTCATTTACAGAATGTCTCTCTTTACTTAAAAGCTTATTAAGGTTTAAAAATACTTAAGGATGATGAAGACCATATATTGAAGAAAAGTCCCATTTCCTGAATCCATTTCCCGTCTTATAAATTTCAGAATGGACAAAGGCGTTGGTCAGTAATCTGGTTACCTGCAGGCTTTCTTTGATGTCCTGGGCTTCAAGGCTCAGTGTGTGGGCTGCACTCAGGGCAAGCCTTAGGAAGTCTGGGAGGACTATGAGAGGAAGAACTTTCATGCCGAGGGTAAAAGAGGAACTGATGTAATGTCCTGGAGAGATTTCACTCTCCGTTCCTGCCCAGATCTTTGGGAACAATGAGGGAGGGAGACAGTGCTCTAGATAATTCAACTCAGATTTTACCTCTGACTCAGGATCCGGGCAGGAACAGGACTTGGAGGAGCTTGATTTATTTATTTCTCTGCAGACACTGTTCAAAGAGGAAGTACTTGATGGAGTTGATAACATTAATGGTTGAGAACTGGATCTGAGGGTATTTAATTCCAGGCTCCTGGTGGTCTGGGTACAACCACTGTCAAGGCTTAAAGGCTTGCAACAAGACCTTCCAAGCTTTGTTTCAGTTTGCAAAGCATGCGCCCACATACAGAGTGGGCTATGACGTTCCTACCCGGCTGCCTGCTGCCTCTGTTATTATAAGTTGGCAGCAGGGTATGGAAACTTGCGAGACCAGAGCCGGCAGGCAGAGAAGCTCCGGACACAGGAAATGCGCTGCGCGGACAGTGGGTGCATTAAATCCCCCAGATGTAGGAGTCTTCTGTCTAAAACAAGAAGATTTTTTTGGTCTGGCCTTGATGTCTGGGTTTGTTCTTGGTGAGTTGCCCAGCTGGAAAAATGGGAAATGGTCCACGTTGCCCTCGATCTGAAGGTCTTGATATGGGAGGGAAATGCACAAGGAAGAGGGAGGGAAAGCCACACACGGTAGTCACTGTGGACACGGAAGGATGGAGGAAGAA